AGCCTCCCTTCACCTACGTGTTTCATACAGAAGATTAATCTGCCAGATCTAATGGACGTTATCACTGCGATGTTATCCTCTTATTACGACGCCACCCTGTATGACCGTCCTAAGGCTATTGGCTAAGCCCATAGACGTCGCGACGCTCGATTCCTTCCAACTAAAACACATTTCCCGCCTCCCTCCACTTGCCGGCCGCTAAACCGCTTTGTCCCTTATAGTCGGTTCGATGAAACTCGTGAAAAAGCCCAAAAGCATTCGCCGAGTCTCGTTCGATACGTCGATGACAGGAGGATCGGATCGCACGTGTGAATTTGCTCTACTTTAACCTCCAGAAGACAAGACGAAACGTCTGGGCTGCATCGCGCTGATTCAGACGACGTCAGGCGTCGACGTCGTTCCGACGGCAGGCGTAAATACGTAAATTCTGACATCGCGTTAAACTTACTAACTGGATCAGCGTCTTACGTCTCCTGCGTATCCCGCGTTGCTATTCTACACTCGTCGTTGACAGGAGAATGAGTGAGAGAGAGAGAGACAGTAATATCTTCTATAGATATAGCCTTATATATACATGGAGTGAGAGAGAGAGAGAGGGGACACACGAAACTTAAAGTGCTCTGGGTTATTCGATCCCATAAACTTATTACAGCCTAAATGGAAATACCGCGGATCAAGTATCGCCTTTCCACGAATGTAACATTAATTGCACAATTTCTTATATTCACTCTTATTATTATAATTCCAGGCGATCCCGAAAGCTCGCGAGGATGCGGGACCGGCTCTCGTGGTACATGGTCTTCCTGATCCTGCCGACGATTTTACTGGCCAGATCGCTGGACAAAGGTATGCACCTTAGGTTACGTAACGCGTCGACCCATATGCAGTAGAAAAGGCCACGTGACAGTGACGTCACAGCACATACCTCCCAATATGCAGCGCATTCCCATAGTCGTTAAATGGCGCCTGCAGGACACATGGAAACCGGCGGATAATAGCCGGGACACGAGCCTTTGATTATGTCGCGAACGTAGCACATCGATCCACGTGAAAGTTCCTCGTTCGGGATTATCAACTTATAATCCTGTGACGAGCGGGATTCAAAGTTGGACAGGAGTTGGCTGCCTTTTGCAGAATACCGGGAAACCTGTTATCGGCCCCCTGGAAAAAGCCTTTCGCTTTCGTTTCGAATCGGCCGATGGATCATCGATCGGCCTGTGTAATTCGAGTTTTATCCTCGTCGGCGAACGATTCGACACCCTGTACAGTATATATACATATATAGAGACACAGGTACAAGTTTGCGTACCATTCACCAGGAATGCCAATTGTTTTCCACGACATCCGGCTTGCCGGTGCTTATGTTGCTGAAACAGGGTGAAACGGGTACGAAATTCAGCATAAACTTCGTACATGTCTACGCTATAGTACGTATAGTACATATGCATGGTATACACGTGTCTGGTACCTACCGTTAACATACCATATGTACACAGTCTGAAAATTTTCTGAGGATAACGCGTCTACTCTATAGAAAAACAGTGAGCGCACGTATCTAATGTCTAGACGCCTCGGTCGACTGGGTTCTTGTAAATACAGACGAAAACGTTTCACGATTCATTCGAAATATAGAATTTTACGGCAGACTGAGAATCCGAGGCTGTTCGTAAGTTTGGGATTTTTTTTTTAAATCAAGAAGCAGATACACGTACCGGGTGTTGGAGATATTCCGGCGTGTTGGCCAATGCTCGTTAGCTCGTCAAAGGGATCGTAAGAAGGCTGAGGGAGCTAGCGAAGCATGTAGCTGACAAGTTTATCAGCTCTGCTTATGAGGTTATGAGTTTTTCCTGGGTAACGTTTTCTGGAGCGGGAATGAATGTGTGGGGGAGAGAGAGAGAGAGAGATGCTTCCATTGCAATGATGAAGAGGCTGGGGTGAAAGGGGGTGCAACATATATTGGGCTAGGTTAATAACGTCACAGGAAGGACCGACGACGCTAACGGGAACATCTCTGGGCCACTTAAGATAAGGTCCCTGATAGTCACAGTTATAATCGTAAAGCTTCGAGAAAATGCGAGAAGATCGGTCGGTAAAGAAGAGATTTTGCTATCGGGATGTAAATTTATGAATGATTTGTGTTTTGCTATGTTTCGATACATAATATATGCGCTTCACTGGATTCGCACGATCCATCATTTTGTCTGTAGATTTACGGGAAAGAATGACGGCCGTGTAGTGTTTGTTAAGTAGACTTTACATGAGCGATAGGGGGGAAAAAACGAATTAAGTCGAGTCTCTTTGGTTACTTATTTATTTTGCTTTCGTTCGCGTTGATATTCGTATCCGGTTGTTCGAGTTCAGAGCAAATAGTCTTTCCAGATCGTAGGTCTCTCTCTCTCTCTCTGTCTCTTCTGTTATATATATTCGACACTCTCTCTCTCTCTCTCCTCTGTATACTCGCTTCCCTCTAACACTGCAAAATTCAGCCAAAGTTAGTCGGCATGGAGTATTCGCAGCTATGCGACCGCTATAGGATGTGTATGTACATTCCACTCGGTACACTCTGTTGGCTATCAAGTAGAGAGGTACCAATTATTCGAGTGGTAGATTGCGGAAGGAAACATTAATTAGATGATGATACTTTTTTTAAATATATCATGCACTCTTTCCAATACCAATTAAAATACTGGGATAGTACGTTATGTAGGATATTATATAATCAATCTACTCTACGCTACGAAAATGTCTCAATTGCGACTCCCGCAGGTTATTTGTAAGGCAAGCCTTAATTAGCACTGCGAAGTGCAACTCGAAATTCCTCCGTGAACTCCGAACGCAACTGACGTTCAACGAATCAGAGGCGAGAGTCGCCGAATTCTCTGTCAGAGAAAGGACAGGGCGGATATGGGGTGGCGGAGGACGACGAAGGGAGAAAAAAGTTAAAAAAGAGGGAAATTAAAAAAAAGAATTACGCGGACGCGTTGAACAGGGTAGCTGTAGCAACTGAATCTTTTTTGACCTTGTTTACGGTTTAAGCTCCCTCGCCGGAGCAATTGTATGTGAAATCCTTTTTTTTTCTCTTCTCTTTCAGTGCCAATACATAATTTATCGAGATAACCTCGACGGGTGCATGTAAAAACGTAATGAAACGAGGACGTAGGTACCCGGGCTAATTCCCGCGGCCCTCCGTCTCTCGGAACTGAACCGCGAAATTGTTACATCGCGAATCCTTCCCCGCCGACGAGTTTAACGCGTTCCCATGCGAAAACATAGGAAACTCGACGGGCTGTGCAGTAGGTTGCAGCGGTTTGCTATTCTAATTAAAACGAGCCAAGTTGTTTCTGCCGTAGTCGATGACTCTGCTGGATTCGACTATTTCCATGGTACTGGCAGACGTGTAAAGTCTGCAGCCAGGGTCGTTTCGAGTCCTTTGAAAGATTAAGACTTACACACTTAACGGTCGCGTTCCACCGCGCGCGGTTAGTAAACAATTTCATCACGGCGACGAATTACTCCTGCCGGCGGTTACAGTCCACGTAGACCGGTCTGGACTATTCCAGACTATTCCAATTGAGTATATCGTTCCACGAAGCAAAATGGACTAGACAGAATTAACCCAGAATATTCTAGAGCACATTAGGAGCAGACGGATCTGAACTATAGTCCAACAGTACGCGAGTATAGGTAAGAGTAACAGTGAGCGTTGAATTAATGAAATCCTGCTCGCACAAGCATCGATACAGCAGCGACTGTTTAATCACAGATAAAGAACGGGGTCACATTTTGAGTGTCGATAACGGATTGTATAGGCTATCCGAAATAATTATTAGCCGTCCGAATAAATATTCACAGCCAACTCGACAGTTTAACTGGTTTCGGGTGGTTGTATCAGGTAAGACGACCTCGGGACGGCCGTCACGCCTCGGAGACTGCCGATTGGTGCGCCGGGCGAGACTAGTGGCGCTAGCGGGTAGTGGTAGTGGTTTTCTGAAACACTCGAGGTGGGAGCCAAGAATACAAACGCGCTCCTAGTAACCAGAGGTGTAAGTAGCTTCTGTATAAGTTTGCATTGTCTCGAGAAAACAAAAGGCAGGTAGCTTATGTCCCGCATTCAAAAGCTCAAAGTTCAGTCTCGAGTGTCCTACTCTCCTTTCTCCATCCTTTTCTCTTACCTCCCTGACCAACACGCACGTCCTCCACTCACACACAGCCCCCTGTACTCTTGGCCCCGTCCCCACCTTTCTCCCGCCAACCGCGTTTTTTCTTCGTCACTTCGACGAACGTTCGAGAAACTTTTCGAGCTTCTTAGAGGAGACTTCTTTCTTTTTCTTTTTTCTTCTTCCTCTTTATTATTCTTCTTTTTCACTCTTCCCGACGTCCATTCTAGTCGCTGTTCTTATCCTTCCGACGAACGACGCCTGGAAGCGTTCGGGTACGGTTAAGCATCGCTTGGTTGAATCACAGGAGGACATAGGGAGGACTTTTCAAGGATATAAAAATGACATAGGGGATATCGTCGAAACTAAGTTTCGATAAAGGTTCGAGCCGTAATGGAATCCTAAAAGACGGAAGGTAAACAACCATACCAGATACTCGATCTAGATAGTGTATCCAGCCAATCGAAGGTAGACAAGGTGGAAATTCGTCGTGTACGGTTTTGTGATACAGGGGTAATACCCAATGAGAGATTTACGATGGTGTCCTTTAACGAAGACGAATCCTCGCAGAAGATCGGGACGCACGACCTGGTCGCTTCGCGTTTCGTTAATGGTCGATAAAATTGGAGAATCGTCGTTGTACCTTGGAGAAAGGACAAAACGGGGCGTTGTCCTTAGTCCCGAAGGTTTCGATGCTCGGCCAAGGAAACTGGGCCTCGTCCAGCTAAGATCCCCTTACAGATACACTTTCAGCCCTTGGCAAAGTGGTTGCGTAATTTATTAGGTCAGACTAAACAACACGATACAAGAAGGTTCGATGTGACGGTTGAGTATGCCGTTTTATTTTCCCATTTTGATCAGCCCCTTTTTCTCTGTAATGAGATTCCACGAAATGAACCTTATAAGGCTTCCCTTTATTTTTCTCTTTAGCAGCTTCGATTTACTCGAAGCATGTATAACTATATCGATAAGGATTTCGTTATGGTAATTCGTAACTGTTATGGGTCCATTGAATATACGCGAGGAGTGTGAGCGAGTGATGCGTGAAGCGCGAGGGAGGAAGCGAGAGAGGCGAGAGAGCTGCGTGAGAACCGAAAGAGCCCTGTTGGCTATATCGATTTGGCGGGTAATTCAAAAGGTGGCCAAGTATAACGAACGCAGTTCCGTTAACGTGCTGCAAATTAATTTCCGGCCGAATCAGCCAGCCGGGCGGCGGCTAATAGCCGCTGGGAGAAAAGCTTTGATCGGGAAATCGAACTGCATTCCGTGCACGTATACATAAATGGAAACGCTCCATGGAAAATGTGGGCTGAACGCGATACTCGGGAAGATGGAACTAAGCCGCTTGAAAGTGCTCGTTCCCGCTCCTCCCGCTCCTCCCGCTCCTCTCTTTACTCTCTGTTCCTCTTTTCCTTGTTTTTCAAGTTTTCTAGAAAATTCAGGGTGCACGTGGTACAGCACGAGGCGCACGAATCGCAAGATATGTACGCCTATGGTTTATCGAGTATGAGTGTATCGGGGGTTGAACGTGGGGGGGTAGCGAGAGGGATGGAGAACTAAAGTAACACTAGCTGCTGGTGTAACGTTCAGGTCTTAAATATCGATTTAACCGGCCCACACGAAGTTTATCTCTATGGAAACTAAGCCTTTAGATCGCTGCGAACAAAGAGAGATACTCGCAATACTTCAGGCGACCGTTGCAGATAGGAAATATTCAAGCTCACGATCAGACTCTACGTCGCTCTCTGGAAACCTCCTTTATCCCACTCGGATTCCCTTTCAGTCCTGGGCTAAAGTAATGGCGACTGTCGAGCAGCGAGTGTACTCTGAAAATTTCCTATTTTCCCGATGCTTTTCGAACTTCCCGTTATTGCTACTCAGTTCCTCTTCAAATATTGTGCTTCCTTTACGGCTGCACTTTTCGTCTTCTTCCCTCCACCCGCCAGCCCCCCCCCCTTTTTCCCAACGCATCCCAAGGTTTCGTACATTTAAATTCGCAAAACTTGCCGCCAAAAAAAGTACTCGACTGTTTCTTAGCTTCCCTTCCCTTTGTCCCGTCTTCACCCCCCCCCCCAAAACCCATTGGCGCCGCACTCATTGTCAAAAGGGGGTCGGGTACTCGAATCACGGACGCATAGAGTTGCGAGAGGGAGAAAATTCTGACACGAAAAATATAAGCAAATTAAAGCACTGCGCCTCTTTCGAAAAGCGTCACATATTTCACCCGAAAACTTTTTCCATCAGAGTAAATCGTAAAGCCGTCGCTCCATAACGCGACTCGTTGTTAACATCCTTCGAAAGTTCAGCTATCGTTCTTGAGTACAGCACAGCCCCTTCGACTCTCCCTTCGACTCTGTACTAAAAGTTACACGCCACGTTTCTATGCTTTCCATCTTCGACGAAAGACACGTGACCTCTGACACGCAAGCCCTCCGTGACAGCTTAGCTATCACTGCGGTTCGCAGTCGTCGTCGAAATAAACTCCGAGCTAAGTGAGTGGTGTATCATTGAAGCCGCGATGAAAATATAATAAAAAAGGACGAAGATCGTAAATTCCCACGGGGACGTCGTACGCCGCGAAATGGGAGGAAACGCGTGTGGATGAAACTAAAAGAGATGTGGACATCGCGAGGGAAATTAAAGAGAGTACCGATGACATTTTTTCAAAATGGGCACCGTGCATTTTTTTTCTCTCTCACGTACCTGCCAGTGTCCTGTGCTTGTATACCTGTATAGACAGCCTCGTATCTATATCGCTAGAATGAAATTTCTGTCTTTTCTTTCAGATCGACGCGTTCCTTACAGCATACCCTCAGACTGGAGAGCACTCTGGTACAATAATTTCGATGAGCTGCAACGCGTCAACGAGGCCAACGACAACAACACAGTTTCCAACGTGACGGTGCAGCTCGGCGGGACGGCCTTTCTGCACTGCAAGGTTCGGAACCTTGCCGAGAGGACGGTATCCGACGCCGAGGTAAGTCGGCTTGGTTGACCGTTCGTTTCGAAAGTGGAGCATCCATTGGTTGGCCAGTCGCGCAAATCAAAATGACAAAGCCAATCGCTTGCGAGCAGTTGGCCATGATTTTTACGAGCATCGACGGGGCGACTCGAGTACCGGGACAGGGTGACTCGTGCGTCTTTAACTTCCGGAACAGTCGGACGTCCGTTTTGGAACGGGACACTGGGCGCAGCGTCCAAGACGCAGGAGGTCAACGATCCGGGAACAAGAGGAGAAACGTATGGAGCTGGAACGCAGAGACAATTCAGACTTGAGACAGGAAAGAGATAGAAGAAAAAAGTTGAAACTTTCTCTCCGAGGATATTTCTCTCTGCTTCCGTCTTCTGTCTCCTGGGGCTACTTACGTTCTCCTGGAAGATCCTGTGGACATCCCGCATCTTCCCCATGTCCGACCCATGTTCTCCCTATCCCAACACTATGCTAGTTAGACCTCTTTGTCAACCTATATCCCATTCCCTACCTCGCTATTAAGCTCTTGTTGAATTATTTATTTATTGCCTCCGCCAATGCGATTCTGTGTGTGTGTTTACCGGCGAATTCGTTCGCTGCGATTCGCACGAAATTACAGAGTCCTGCGGGTCGTTACAGCGCCACTTCCCATTAGCGGAAGCATTAGTAACTACGTTTAATAGGACGTTGCACTTATCCGCCATCACTCCGAGGCGGCCATGTTTCACGATCAGGAAGATAATTCGATCTCGCGTACCGCAGCATCCCTAGCGGTAACGTTTCACTCGGTTAACCGAACTTTCATCCCCCCCCGCCCCACTTTTTTTGTTATTCCTCCCTGGGGTTACTCTCTTTTTTATCCATCCCATCCCTCCCTCTTCCTCCTCTCAGCCTATCGCTCCCCGACCTTCATTAAAAATTTCAAATATCTCATATTCGAAATACGAACAAATCGCACCCACGTAGCAATAAATTAAGCTCGAAAGTCAAATTTGACTTGGTTACGAATTCTCTGAGTTTGAATTGACGTTTCTCAAGCTTCCGTCTCTTTGACTTTCAGATATCCTGGATACGTCGGCGAGATTGGCACGTGCTTACCAGCTCCATGTTCACCTACACAAATGACGAGAGGTTTCAGGTGCTTCATCCGGAAGGATCGGACGACTGGACGCTGCAGATCAAATACGTCCAGGAGAGGGACAACGGGACCTACGAATGTCAGGTGATAAGGACGATATACATACATACAGTGTATATTGTAATAGAAGTACAATAAGCTTGAGTATGGTATAGTTTATATATATATATATATATATGCATGTGTATACGGATCGATCAATCGATATATCAATGTTGCCACTTTGATCGTAAAGTACAATAAGCTTGAGTATGGTATAGTTATACGTCCAGGAGAGGGACAACGGGACCTACGAATGTCAGGTGATAAGGACGATATACATACATACAGTGTATATTGTAATAGAAGTACAATAAGCTTGAGTATGGTATAGTTTATATATATATATATATATATGCATGTGTATACGGATCGATCAATCGATATATCAATGTTGCCACTTTGATCGTAAATATTAAAAATCCCTCGTCCAGCCCGTACAGGTTGACAGAGGCTGAAATAACCGTGGAAATAGGAAAAATTGAACAGGGCCAGGCAGGTGTCGCGCACCGACAGCCAATCGGCTACACTTCCTAGTTTCAATTTTGCTACGGAATCACTGCTCTCCAGAGATGTAAAACCGTCGCATCGCACGATAGATCAACGACCAGTTTAAACTTCTGATATACGGCGGTGCGTTCGGAGTGATCTATGCAGCTGTAGGTACGGCTGCTACAGATTCTACCTACCAATCAGTCCCTTTCGCTCGTGTTATAAGATAACCTTATTCCTATGCTTTCCTTTCGTTTCCAAGATTCTGCACTTTCCAAAGTATTCGTGCTCGTGCATTTTCTACGGCGCTGCTCAAATTGGAGCAGTGAAAAGAGAGGCGTATAATACTTACCCGGGCTACGTGCGGGTAAGGTTCTGAGGATACTTGGACTAAAACCGGAGAAGGGTCAAGGGTCGCGATACGGTAACCAGTGACGAAATACCTTGTTGAGTATATATGTTGACATCCTTTGCCATACGATGAAATAATCAGTGAAAATTTTAGAAACGGCTGTACCTTTATTTCTCTCGTGCTCGCCGGCTGCTGACTAACGAGCGAAATTCGTCAAAATCATAAATATCCTGGCAATTTAAGCGCTGTTGCTTTCAGAGGGATCTGGCTGCCGCGTCGCATCGCTCCTGCGTGTAAACGAACGGATTGGTGGGATTAACAATTGGTTCGATGTTTCGTTCGACTGTTACTGAAATCTGGGATACTTCGAAGCTAAACTCCCGATTAACTATTGGTTGCCATGGCAACGTGCCGGGGATTTTGGGAAATTCTTTCAGGATTCGTGCACTCGGTCCGCTCGAATCTTGGGGCTCAGAGTCTTCCGGTAAATATTATACCGGGAAAAATTTGTCGGGAGCATTAAAAGGAGGAAGAAAAAGTTTATAAAAATGTAGGAGAGAACCTCTGGGATTACTTTGAACATTATGGAGGCTGCCCAAAGGCGAACTGTTCCGCGCTGGGAAAGTCATGTCGCCGTTACTTGAGGTCCCACTGGAAGGCCGATATACGTCATAGAAATGACGTGGCAATTTCAGAGGAAGTCAAAATTGCTTCGAAAATGGAAGGCGACCTCCCTTCGCGTGTTGCGTGATAACGCGTGTAATCGCCTGGAGGGGGATATCGAAAAGTTGTAATATTTTTGGAATTTACGATTTTCCAAAACTTTCGTACTTACCTTTCAATCGGAAAGGCGCTGGCGAATTAGCGGAATGAGTGCGAGAGAGACGAGGGGAGGAAGCGAAAGTGAATGTATCGAAGAGAGAAGCAAGACGGAGCGAGTGAGCCAAACGAATCTCCAGCTGTGCGAAATTCTACTATCAGGAAGTTTCCCAAGATCCCTACACCTCCGCGTTGTTATGTGCCAAACGTATTATCCGAATAATTAATTCTCCCTGATACCACCTCACGCCGCAAGTCTTGTCCAACCTTGCGAACTGGCGCACCGGCATTCTAATTAGAATGAGTAATTACTTTTAAGTACGGCTTAGGAGGCTGTGGGACGGAATGGTCCATAGGGAGGGGAGTCCTACTCTAGTAAGTAGATGGACATTTCTTTCGCGCTACGAAACCTCCGCTTTTCCGTGTTTGCGATCCTCTGCGTGATATTTGCCCCGGCTGCCGGATCCTCAAATGTTTCCTTCCGAAGCTTATGAAATATTATTTGTCATTGGGAAAAGTGGGAAAACTTTGGAAATTAATGTACGCATACCTGAAACGAATGAACCGTAACGTAACGACTGTGCCGGATATTCATTTGCCCTTGGCATTTATTTTTCAGCATGTCCCAAAGGGGCAAAAAAGGTACCGCTGAAAATTCCCCCACAAGTTTCAAGGCGCTCCTTGTCGAATAAATGAATATCTGTAAATAACCCAATTTATTACTCGGCTTTACATTTTGGACGCGGTAATTCTTCCTTCTTCGTTTTGTCGTGTCAATCGAAAATTGTGTCGATCCCCTCTGCCACCTCAGCGACAGCTACCGGAAGTTCAAGGGGTGCCTTGTCTGTTTAATGCAAATGCATATGCATGCTGCCTCGGAGGAGAGTGCGAAAAGTCAAAGATTCAAAATGGCGACCACGTCTACTTTATCTATGCTCGGTACAGATATGCATGTACGTTATGTAAGAATAGGATAATAAAAATTTTTAATTAATTAAAGAATTAAAGAATTTTTAATAATTCAATTTATCGGATTTCCCAGTGCTTCGTCGAAACAGCAACCAACTGCTAGAATATATGAGACTTCCCGGTAACACGATTGCATATGCAAACCATATAGCGGAGGCCGTAGAGAGCAACATCAAAGATCCAAGAGCAGAAGGAGCAGAGGGTCCGGCATGTGACAACAGCGTCAAACTTGATAGATCTAATACGGTCAGGCGGAGGCTGCGCTCTGGTTCAACCTGAAACTTCAAAGATCCAATATGGCGAAGAACATCCAAGACGAAGAGCAACAAGGACAGAAGACTGGTAGCTGCTTCCACCTGGCGGGTAAAAAAGCAAATTTCCAAGAAAATAGAAGCTTCGAGAATTTGTACAAGAGGAGACATCGAAAGAAACGAAGATTGCTCCCTGGTGACGATTTCCTTATATCTCTCTTTTTCTTTCTCCTTAGCGCTGCCAGTGACGTCATCTTCCTCTCGTACAACGACGCCCCTGATATCCCAAGTCGGCGTCACGACGTACTCGACGAAATCTTCTCCTCGGCTGTACATACTCCGAGCATGGCACATGGTGCTGTACATAAGTATGGCGGAACTACGTGGGACACGGGTAAAAGAAGAGGAGGGACAAAGAGAAGATGATAAGACAACGGGAGAAAGAGACAAAGGAAGAAAGAGCGAAAGAGAACGAAGGCTCTTATAAGTTCCCAGTTGCTTCTGTTTTTCTGTGAAAGCGGTTGGATGTCTCCCCGGGCTGTGATAGAATCGATGTCCCAGAAGCATACGCGATCCTGCATCCACATTCCAGAACGTATTCCTCAAATAGGACGATATCGAAGGTCCCTTCCTTATTTTCTAGAGAATTCTGAAAGTGCGCGTCGATCGTCGAGTTAGAAGTTTTAAATAAAAAGAGCACCCATACCTTCCTTTTGTGTTCGAGAACGCGTAATTCACGATTCCCGTCCGTTGGACGGGATCGATTCTCATGGGTAAAGAAAGGGACTGCCTGGAGAACCCTAAGAAGAATAAAAAGAATCGTGGCCAAGATACGGAAAGTGAGTCAAGAGACTGTTTGAGGTTGAACTTCTTCACGGGACATTTCTGAAGGATTTCGAAGGATCGAATGCTAATAGTATCTGTGAGATGTGACTTTTTCACGTCTAATAGATATATAGTCAGCTGGGGTTCAAGGTAGTCCTGTAGGACGAACTTCAGGACGTAAGTGGGAATATTCAGAGTCTAGTAAAACGTAAAAGTTGTAGACACCCGGCTAGCGAGGGAGCGCCTGATAACTTTTTACTAGCGTCTCATGAATTTTGACAAAAGTCTCACTGGGACCCCCGCGAACCGGTCCGACTTGAGCTTCGGGCACGGAAAAGGGGCCCCCAAAAATTGAGCCCGCAGGGTAATAAGGGCGCGAGATCCCGACTATACGACTCTCTCATTAATATAGATACACTTTGATGAGCTTGCTCGTACATTAGCCACGACTCCTCGAACCTCGCATTATCTTCGACCCAGTCGTTCGTCTTGGAGTCGATGTTGTCTTGTGGTTCGCCTGGTGGGGAAACGCCAGGGAGGGTTCCAGGTACGTCATTTACCCATGAATGATCGTTAAATTGGAAACCGTCTACTTCATTAGCCCTTCCGCGAGCAGACAGTAATTCAAAAGATACTGAAATTTTGAGCTTGCTAAATAGAAGCAGAGAATAATGGAGATACCGCTGACTCCCTTGATATTTAGGATGAAGAAGAACACATAGTGCCATTGAAGATCCTGAGAGGATGCTGGGACGGCGATAAGGAGGATGGCAGGGACGGAGGGGATAGCTAAATTTTCTCAAGGAATCCAGGGTTATCAACAGAGCCGGTGGGAGGCAACGGCACGATGCGCGTCCATCTTACAACGTTAAGGTCGGTCCTGGGTGAGGTCGGTCCGAGGCTTTTGCGAGTGTTCAAATGGATGACGGAGGGAAGGTCGGCTGATGAGATGGTCTCTGCTGGCTTCGGGCTTGTTTTACTCTCTCAAATGTAAATAGATAGTCGCTATTACGGCCACTGCACTGTGTGGCATTGCGCGGTACGTTTCCCTTTGTTGAAGGTCTTGCACTATATATATATATATATATATATAACGACTGGTATACGTATGGTGTACATGTTTGTATTACTAGAAGGTAACTATACTAACGAGTAGCTAGAAAGGGAGCCACCCCAGTGAAATACCTTAGTGGTAATTTCGCTGGCTGATGTGGCGGTAGCATGTTC